CACTGGAGTAACGTGTTTTTCACCATTATTCTTTCCTCTCATCTCTGTTACTAGTAGTAATAGTACAATTCAGTTTACAGACAGACAATACTGTATTTCAAAACACTGTGTAGACTGTACCTCTATATAGCCACCTATATAATTTTCAATACATTTTTTTTCAAAAGAAAAAAATCACTTCAGCAGCAGTTCTGAAAATTATCACCTAGATATCCTAGTACTGATTCCTACATAGTATATGTCTGACCACCGCCTTCTTGCATCCAAACCACCATGGTAGTAACATTCCCTTCCAAAGGGGAAAATCCTAATCCTTGGTCTCCATTACACAAGCACTACTCCATCCAAGACACTGATATTATTAATTACTAACTTTTCCCCAGCTGCAGGCGGCTTGCCTCAGCTGGATCCATCCCCAGCACTTCCTCCAGCAGAAGTTTCATATCTTCTAGTACAACAACAAGAACAACAACAACAATCCAAGCTTCCAGCATTCATCCAAGACCTTTCCTTCCTTTGAAGAACAACACCTGCTGGAGTATAATGCTACATACTCAGTTTATAGGAGATTCCCCAGCCACAGCTCCTTGCACCAATTCCAGTAGTTATTCCAAACTGAAAGCTATGTCTTTCAGTCTTAATGTTGTTGTTTCCAACTTTGTGTTAGAAAGCAATAACAATCTACCAAGCTCCCAACATTAAAGCACTTCAACCAAGATGACGCTGAGAGGATCAGCATCATTCCTCTCCAGCAATAACCCCCACCAGCTGCTTGCACCACCAGTAGTTTAACAGACCAGAAGCTAATTTCTACTAGTCACACTTTTTTGCTTCTGACATTGGTGCTAGACAACAACAACACACACCCACACCCCATTCTGGTTCTTTTAGATATCCTGATACTTCCATTGGCACCTCTACTACCTCCACAAATTATCATCATCACAACTATTAACTAGTATATATGGACCCAAGTACATCAAGACTGAGTAAATGTGTTTGCTTCATGTTTTTCTCTTGGATTTTATTTTTTGATTTTTTTAAAATGGCTACCTCACCACCTGTGCCTTTGTACACTATGTGAGACCTTCCCTTAATTGGCTTGACAGTGTGCTTCTTCTTGGCACTGGTTTCCTTGGTCATTGCAGAAAGGCTTGCCTTTTTGGCATGGCAGTGCACTTTGAATTACCACGACATGGCTCTCATTCATCCAAACTGTGAACCAACTCATTCTTTGCCTTCTGTGTTTAGCCCCAAGCCTTAATTGGCTTGTCAGTATTCATAGAACCTGGTAGTCCCTCCACAAAACCTCCTTGGAGGGAGGCACCAGCGCCACTTGGAGCAGCAACCACTCCTAGGAGCATTATACAGTTAAATTTTCTGATAATACATTAAACCATGGATTTGAGGCCCTCTCTTTACTGTGTAATGACTCATGGGATTTAAAAATTCAAGCCAAAAATATGGTTGCTAGCAAGTGCAAGCAAAACTTAATTCAATACTGCTGAGCATGTGCATTAGTAAATATGCATTTGGTTTTTTCAGTCAAAGTACTAATTACACACAAAAATAGGGGCTCATACCTTTGCACATCAAACCTATACAGTAGTAATAAACTGAAAATGTCTGCTTCAATTCCCACTTATCTAGGTTCATAAAAATGCTGAAGAACAGTGCTTAAAACACCAAAAGTACCACCAGATTCAAGTACAATTCCACTCCACAATTCAGGCTCAGGTATCACTGGTTCCTGCCTATGCATACTATGATTGACACAACCTGACCCAAAATATGACAACAAGCAAGCTACCATAAAGTGTTTTGTATCAAATTTTACATAAAATTTTTGATGTTGTCATTCAAGGAGAGACAAATAACACAAAAACCATAAAAACAAGGATTTCAATCCCTACTTGGTTGCTCTTTCAGAAAGACTCCTCAGAGTGAAACACTGCTACCCCTAGGAGCAGCTAGGACAGGCAGTCTTCTACCAGAAGTTCTGGTCCTGGCCACCATTAGTGCCTCTTCTAGTTCAATGCTATCAAAAATACATCATGTGCTACTGGTTAAGGTTGGAAAATATCAGACACTAGTAGTAGCACTACTATGCAACATTGAATTTTTGAAATGACAGGGACCAGCAGGAAAATGCATCTAGATTATTGCTGCTTTTGTTTTGACACTAAAAAACATGTGCTTTGTTCATCTGATGGATTAAAGAAAAGGAAGAGAAATTTCAAGGGAAAACTGGTTATTACTGCAACAAGTACTACATACAAGAAGATCTTGAGGCAACTAGTAGTAGTACAAACAATAAAGTGCAAGCAGTTCATCTGTTTTCTATCAGGGATTGGTGGTGGTGCTGGAAAATCAAAAGTAATTCATTTAACTCAATCTGGTGGGAGGAGACTCCCTCTTGTGAACAATAGATTTGAATCTTTGGCAAAAATAGAACAAAATATTTCTTCAACTGAAAACAACAAACTACCACAGGTTTAAGTATGATGTATTCTGGGGGAGCTTTCTTGATGATCTAAGAAGAACAAATGACTTGAAAGAAGAGCATGTTCAAATTATCAAAGCAAGAATTGTAAAAGCTTAGGACAAACTCCCAGGAGATATTGCTTATGCAACAACATAAAGCAATGCAGACAAGTACTATGCAAGAAATGATGGCACATTTTTCTGAGTTTCTCAAAATAATACATTAAAAAATTATTGTATAACTTTGGCAATTCATAAATAGCCAATTGAATGGTACATTTTTAATGCTTGGTATATGTTCACATGAATAATTAAAGAATCAATAACCCCCTATCATATAGAGTTGGCAAACCAATGTACGAACCAGTCATACATTTTGGGCCCCTATTTTTGTGTTTAATGACTACTTTGACTAAAAAACTAACTACATACAAATTGCACATGCTCAGTACTTGTACCGGTACTTGAATTCTTAATCCCACCAGTCATGCGACCAAAATAGTTTCACTTGCACATACATGGTGTAGGCCTAGTACAAGTCAAATTTTTATCCCACAATGAGTCAGTACACGGTAATTAGATGGCCCAAAATTGATGCACAGTAGAATAACACATAKAACATTAAGAGAGGTTCAACTGATGCTAATTGCCATAACTTTGTCCCCAGCRGGCGATTAAGTATGATRGGCACATGAATCAATTCCCAGTAAAAAGAGCTTTCTAATGGTATGAGGGAGTTGGGGGGTCTTAGTACTAGTGGAACATATTGATATTCGTGTATGAATATCGGATTTAAAATGTACAAATGCTTTGGCCAGAATCACTCTACCAACGCCATGATATGCTGATAACCACCTGTATCACTGAATATATCTTTTTACTGGCTTTTCATTCATGTACCTATCATTCTTAAGTGTCCTTTGGGGACCAAGGTAGCTGTTACAGTGAGTTGAACCTTAGTTAACATTCTACATGTTTTTCTACTGTGCATCAATTTTGGCCTTTCTTTTTATTGTATAAAGACTACTTTGACTAACAAGCGATTTGCATGTGTTTGTCCATTGAGCACATGGCGTACACAAAAATATTTGGTTGCACAACTGGTGGGAATCAAATTTGAGCACATGCCTGGCTGTATACTGCAGTACAAGCCAGTTTTTTTAGTAAAAACAGTCATTGCACACAAAAATAAGGACCCAAAATCTACAACTGTATTGTGCATTTACAAGCTGTATCTATACAATATGACAAATTGCCAGATCACATTATTGTAATTAAGGCCTCAAACCTAAAACTGTAGATTAAGAAAACAAGAAAATGCAGAGGTATACTACGYATTTTGTAACAATTGAAACTGGTCTTGAAAAAGAGCAAAAAGTAATAATTTCAAGTTCTAAACTTCGATTTGAAGTTATAAACTTCAAAATGTCCCAGTAGAAAGTCTATGAGGTTCTACTGAGCTAGTTTTTGGATGACATTCATGATTGAAAGGCTGGATTCATGATTGAATCACCTTTGTTTTGAGGGGGCCCAGGAATCTATTTGGCCATTCAGCAGTCATTTTAATAAAACTACCTCGGTAGAACCTGGTACATGATGTACAAGCAAAAGTTCATAACTTCAAATTGAAGTTCAGAACTTGAAATTATTACTTTTTGCTCTTTTTTGAGCCTGGTTTCAATTGTTATGAAACGCGTTGTATCATATTTGCAAAAATGCTGCCACATCAGATGATGACGTTATTGAAGGTAAGGTGGAACCAAAACTTCCAAAAGGATAGATCCAATGCTTAGATTGTATGTTGGTAGACCTGGTGCTGTCATGATTGATGACAAAGTATATGTTAAAATCAAAAGCAAATCATCAAGCCATTTCTTGTTGTAGTACATTCAAGTCTCCCAAAATGAAAATCAGGTACTACAAGTATTGTGAAATTATCAACATTAATGGATATTGTGTTTGATGTGTAGTAGATATTGAGAAAGTTGAATAGATAGAGGTGGTCCATGAAGAAGGAGATATCAAACAATGCAGCAACAGCTAATTTTCAATGTAGTACACAGGAACATGAGTCAAAAATGATGCATGAAAGTCAAAGGAGTAACAAAGGAACCCATTTAATTCAATTCCCAATTACTAATATTGCCAACAATGGTACAAGGACTTTTCACAAATTATCATACAGAGTTGGTGGACCAATGTATGAACCAGTCGTACATTTTGGGCTACCTTTAGGTTGTAATGACTACTTTGACTAAAAAACTATATACATACTAAATGCACATGCTCAGTACTTGGATTTTTCAATCCCACCAGTCGTGCGACCAATTAGTTTCAGTCTTGCAACCAAATAGTTTTGCTTGCACATGTGCTGTAGCCCTAGTACTACTACAAGTCAAATTTTAATCCCATGAGTCATTACACACTAAAAAGATAGCCTAAAATCTGCGCACAGTAGAAAAACATGTAGAACATTAAGTGAGGTTCAACTGATGCTAACAGCTTTAACTTTGTCTCCAACAGATGCTTAACTATGGTAAGCACATGAATTGAATCCCAGTTTAAACACAATTCTAATCATATGGTGGAGTCGGGGGTCCTAGTACTGGTATTTATCAATATTTGTGCATGGATATTGAGCATTCTTTATGTACAAATGGCATGGCCAGAAAATCTCTGCCAACTCTATATGATATGGAAGATCTTTTGAAAGGTTGTGATTGTTTCAACTTGGTCTTACACAAGAAGCAATTGGATTTACTATGTTGTGCTTTGTTTTCACAAGCAATTGGATTTAGTATGCATGTTCTGCTTTCAAGAGTTACTACTACTAGTGCTGGTACTAGTTCTAGTACTAGTACTAGTACTAGTACTAGTAGAACTTCTTGTTGTTCTTGTGCGGACAAAGCACAATCATGAGTAGCTAGTAGTGAGTCACCTCACTTTTTAGTATTGTAAACCCTTTACTTTACAACACCAGAGAGCATACATACATTTTGCAGGTTATAGTAGTAGTGGTCTGTTTGTAAGAACACTGACTATTCTCTGTCAAAAAACAACACACCAACAACAATACCCAACACACAGAGCAAATGAAGGAATTCCATTCCTATTTCAGGGCCCTCTGTTAGTAGTACTAGTAGTAGTAGTTTCTGAGGAAGACAGTTGCCAACCAAGATCAGGGTTTTGCAAAGGTTTTTGCCATTTTTAAACAAACAAGAGAAGCAAAGGGAGTATTGCCCAGGAAATATTATCTTTCTTGTTTCTCTTTGGAAAAAAATTGACAAATCAATGAGAATATTGCCTCAGTAACATTCTCTTTGTTTTTGATGTTCTAGTAAACATTAAACCACACGTGCTGGCACTAACTTAGTTTTTGCACCCGTAAAAACTTTTACGTCGGCGAGCCAATAGCTAGTACGAATACGTACGGTAAGTACTTACACTACAGTAACTGTACTTTTACTGTTAACGGTAATAAAAAGATAGGCATTTTGATCAGAAAAACGAAAAATGGGGTATTCGCACCAGTTACCCAACGGAAAGGACCACTTGTACAACTAGCAACATAATAATTCACAATTGAAAGCAACCGAATTCGCCTGTCCCGTCTTGGCTAGACGGTAAACCATGCAACTGAAGTTTGTTCGCACCAACATCAACGCTTGGAATTATACGAACTAAGATACACCTCTTTCCAACGGCTTGGTTTGATTTTAGGGTTACTTTTTCTCGATTGTGAAAGTCATCGTTATTGCAAAGYACCATGTCGGCTTTGCAAATGGCCAAAGACGAGAATGGTGTTTGCCAGGGATCTATTAGAAAAACAGTCACCATTAGCAGCAGCAAAAAACCTGGGCGTAGAAACAGTGGGGCATTCACGTTATCTTTTAGCAGCAGAAATTCTTCGTCGGCCTCGTTGGATACAAGCCMGAACCTTTTGACGTATTCTTTGCTCGTCGGCGTAAAACTGATTTGCTACGAAAGTATGGCTACGATGTTCAATGGCGACCATCCGTTAGCCCAATATAGTTTGGTAGGGGCTTCTCCGGTTTCGGACAATTCAACGGCATTTCGAGCAGTGACAGATCGTGGGACTCATCTTCTATGCAGCGTTCCGACGAAAGGATGTCGCGAGGTATGGCTAAGCGCACTAAATGCTGGTCTAGAGTATCGGTTGCTGCAAGAATCGGAGCGAAAGAAACGTTCCAATAATGGTGATTCTTCTGACGATTATTCAAGAAGCAAGAAAATTTTGTCGCCTGTTAAACCAACCTATCCTCGCGGAGTAAAATACAAATCGGCACCAGTGCGGTATTGCCATTCGTGTGGAAAGGTCGAACTCAACAAGTCATCTGAATCACCAGCGTATTATCAAGCACCGTTGCCTCAATACGGTATTGAAGAACGAGTTGATGTGTGCGTCAATTGCCATAAAGCCCAAGGTGTCCTAGAAAATTGTGATTGGATGGAAGAATTGTATGCAGCGCAGCAAAAAGAGCAACTTGCTATGCTAAATGCTCGTCAGCTTGTATTGGACAAACTTGGACAAAAAGCAAACCATGATCAGCAATCCACAAGCTTGAAAAAAGAAAGTGACTCAGGTGTTGAATCAGGTCATGATAGTACTCATACAGATATGGATGACTCTTCGTTTGCTGGCGATGGCGACGTCATCAACGATAGCGACAATGGCAACAATGTAAAAAAACCGGAAGAATCAGATCGAGACTCTACAGGGCGACTATTACCAAAAGCTCATACTATTCAACTCAAACCTTTGTCGCACCACGTGCTGGGTTTGGTTCTAGAATCACCTGAGGGAGTTGCTTTACAACGACTCAGTCCTACTCTACGAAGGTTGTGCACCCAATTCCAACAGGGTATGATCGGCCTCATGGAATTTATGGAGCTCTTGGAAGCGGCAATTGGAATTCGTGATCCAGCTATGGCTGAGCTTAAGAAACAAGCATTTCGTGTAGCAGGTGATATGGGAACTGCTCTGAAACTGTTATATGAACAATGCTTGCCACCCGCGGTAGAATCATCTGCCGGGAACAACTCATTRGATTCTTTGAGCAGGCAAAATCGGCGGCGATCGAACTTGGGTAGTAATGATCTCGTATCAACAGAATTGCTGCAGTGTATCTTGGAATTCTTTTTGGATTTGGTCGTAGAAGAGGACGAGCTGGACACATTGGCATTCTTCTGGCCTCAAATCTCTAATATCCACTTACAAATGTTGCCACCCAAGGATGCTCTGTCGTTGCAAAAAATTGAGTTGGTGGAAGACTTTTTGTTGACGGTAGCCTCGAAGTACTCAATCCATTTGGCGAATGAATTGGTTTGGAGTCACACAGCTGACCTTGAAGACGCACTGAGTGGGAGTTACGAAGGTAGTACCACGACATTTTGTGGACATAGGCAAAGTGCCGTGCTACGATTTTTATGTGAGCTAGAATCCTTATTGTTTGATTTTGACACATGTTGGGGTGGTGGATCGGTGACCACTGGGCAATTCATGTCACCTTCAGACCATCAAATTGAATTACTCAAGTCTTCTGTCGCTAGAATTCAAACTTATCGTCTTATGGTCGAACGCGACCGACTGACTCGATCTCATCGATTAGAGAAGTTGCAGAAGTCTTTAGGACTATCATCACCGGAATCGCCCGAAACTCAAGCTCTGGAAGCTATGAGGGTAGCTAACAATGCTGACTACTTATCCAGCCATTTGGTCTTTACTAAAAGATTGTGCGATATCGCTGAAAGACTTCGATTCTTGCCTGTGACCGAACGCAGGGGTGTTCTTAGCACCGAATTGGCCAAATTGAATGCTTCTGGAACCATGGGTGGAGATCCCACAAATATCATCAAAGAAGGCCGGACAAGAGTTGTAAGAATACCCGTAATGGAAGGACACGTATTTCGAAGCAAAGCAAGAACGCCGGTGTTATTATTGGTTGAAACACTGGAAGAGGGTATTGCTTCAGACCAAAGTACCAACGAAATCGAATCTATTGTTGAGGAAATAGAGAAAGAATCAAAAATGATTGTTGAAGAAAAAATAGATTCGGATGACACTTCATCTGTGAATGGCTTGAGTACGTTACAAAACGAGGAGTCGGCAGAGTTCATTGAAGATCCCAGAGATTCCGAGGGCGGAGAAGTCAATGATACTGTCGAGAATGAAATGAGAGTCTCAGTAGACACTCACGATGATAATACTGTACATAGTGAAARGGAGGCAAGAATAAAGGAAGAAGTGTCAAATCAAGAAGAATTAACGACACTTCCAAACGAAATTGGAAGCTCGGCGGATATACCACTTGAAAAACCTGATAGTGATAGKGGAGATGAGATAAAGCCGGTTCAAAATCTAATCGAAAACGTGTCTGAAAAATTCAATGTGATAAAGATAGAATCCAATAAAGCTAACGCGGACGACTTAGCGGTATCGTCGCATCTTAAGCCAGGAGAAGAAGGAACAAAGGTTTCTTCGAAAGTTGATGGTCTCAAAACGAGGGATGAATCCGAATTGTTTCAGATTGAAGCAGCAGCAGCCAAGGAAGACACTATCGAGACAGATGAAGAGGCTAAAGCATGCCAATTTGACCATGGACTCGTTGAAGACGACAAAAAGACGTCACTAACAGAAGATAAAAAAGTCGTGTTTGAGGACGTGATCATGCCAGAGTTGGATACATCAACTCGATCTTCGAGACTAGGTTCCGTTCAGTCCTRTCACTCAGCAGACACAATAAGCTCATTGAATACAAGTCTTCATGACAAGGACGTTCCAAGGCGTGAGTTTTCAAGAGTGCATTAGTTGATTTTCGGCATCAGCTTTCCAGCTCATTTGTTGTTTGTCTGTCTCTTTGTTTGTGTGTTAATAGACGCTCTTCGAAGGTTTGATAGTCCGAAGACGAAACCAAAAATCATCACCCCAACTACAGATAGAAAAATGGTGGAAAATATAATGACAAGCGTAGTTGCAAAACAACTCCATTTACCAAGCCTCGCACCAGATTCGAACACACATGTCTACGGAAAGGACATCAAAAGTGAAAACCACGGGACGCTTGCTTCTTCTAAATTAGAAGAACAGCAGCRAGGCAGCAGCAGTTCTTCTGTAGATCGCAAACAGCAGCAGCAACAAAAGTATGTCTCCCCGAAACATGCTAAGATAAAAAACTTGGGTACCGGCAGTACCGGTCAAGAACTGTGCAACGGTCTATCCAAGACAGGAGGAACAAGGCGCGAAGTTTTAACTGCTATCATGACGAAAGGAATGTCTGGGAGTCATGTCATTGCCGAGCAAGCAGCAACTGGAGCAAAAAGGCACTTACAAGATCTCGAGAGGAGAGTTGCTGTGGAAGCTCTGCTCACCGGAGGAATGGGTGCTGCCTTAACAGCTACTGATGATAAAAGAGAGGAGTTATTATCGTTGGGCATCCGTTCTGCAAGCCGGGAAGATGTAGACTTGGATGATAACAAGTCAGATGATGAYGAAACTATGGAGGCTATTCGCCTGTTACTGATCCAGTATCGTGTGGCAAATGGCTCTATCAGTGCKAATGATGCGGCAGCCCTACTCGCACCCCATCCAACGGCAAGATCCAAGAAGAACGAGYTGGGTACGATTATACATAATGGACGAGAATTTCCAGAAATTGATGCGGGAGATATTGATTCACGGCTAGTTGGTTGCGGGGTTTTACCTCCTGCTGTTCTGCAAGCTCTAACTCTATGGAAAGGAGATGCAATTTCCAACGGAGAGCTTCTTGAACTTGTGAAGAAAGATTTTGAATTTGAAAAACAATCGAAGCTCGTAGAACAAAACACAGATAAACTYAATGAAGACTCAGCTTTTTGGGGAAGGTTCGCCTTTGGTGAACGATGGGCAGAGAAACGATCCCGAATAGCTGCTTCGAGTCCAGAAGCAGTTTTACCAGGTTGGGATCTAACAGCCATAATTGTGAAGTCAAACGATGACTTGCGGCAAGAATCCTTCGTGATGCAGCTMATCGAACTGTCTCATGAAGCTTTTCAAGAGGCAGAGCTGGAGCTTTGGCTCAATCCTTATCGAATCATATCTACTGGCAGGACAACTGGCATCATGTCTTGCATTCGCAATGCTATGTCTTTCGACGGACTAAAGAAAAGGCCTGGTTATGGTACCGGGGGAATCCGGGGGCATCTCCTAAGAATGACAGAGCATGCTGCAAACCCTGGAGAAGCCTTTCAATCTGCTCAAAGAAACTTTGTGAGGAGCCTTGCCGCTTATTCACTACTATCGTACATGTTTTTGTTCAAAGATCGTCACAATGGGAATATTATGTTGGATACCTACGGCCATGTCATCCACATCGATTTTGGGTTCGTGTTCGGGATCGCACCGGGTGGATCCTTCAGCTTGGAAATGTCTACTCCATTTAAGTTAACAGAGGAAATGATCGAAGTCATGGGAGGTCTTCGATCTTCACTTTTTTCGGAATTTGTGACTCTCTTTTGCTGTGGCTTTTTGGCCTTGCAGGCACATTACGACACGTTTGCGACCCTCGTAGAAGTGACATCTCGAGGGAGTACCTTCCCGTGCTTTGATGGCCGAGATACTGCTGATATAATCAGCAAAATKGAAGACAGATTCTGCCCCGACCTGAACAAGGAAGAATCAGTGGCTCATGTTTTGGACGTTATCAAAGAAGCGGTAGGTTCGTACGGAACGAAACAATACGACTACTTCCAGTATCTCTCCCAAGGGATTGCCACCTAAATACCTATAATTMATTTTACTTCAGTGGGAATGGGAAGAAAGTGACCTTCCGTTGCTGCCACCATCAATCCGGAATGAAGGTATTTGGTCCCAAGCTTTGTATATCAGTCGTTGATTTCTCATAAYTGAAAATGAATGAGTCTCTACTCGCTGTTGTGAAGATTCTATGGTACGCTACACTTATCTTACGTACCGTCATCGTTTATTGTAGATTATTACTGAATGACCTACCAATCAATCGGCAATAAAATTAGAAGTAGAATTTACGTGAAATTCGGTCATCCACATCTGTAACTTTGCCAGCCTATCTGGTTCAAATCCTCTTGAGCATCCTTTGCTTCCCCATAAAATCAATGTACTATGTATGGGAATAGAATTTAACTTGCGTGCACTTCATGTGTTGCCCCTCTCTTTACGAAATAAGGAATCTAAATAAATATACTGGGGAAATACCATTTTGGGACTCACAAGATTCTTAAAAGAAGATCTAAATTCTAGCATGGTACGATTGTTCTACTGATCTTTACTATTGAAAAATCCAGATTTTTCTTGAAAGCATCTACAAGCTATGCTGAAGCCTCAATATTTGCTAATAATAGTCTCCACCCCCCATAAAAAAATAATGTTGGCTCTTCCATGGATTGCACATGCGCTTGTAGTGCTGGAGGAGGAGGAGGAACAATACTTTACCAGTATCGTCAACAAACGCAAACATGACCAGAGGACACCTGGAATTGCATTCCTTCCCATGAACAAGTCTCCATTTGCCTATCTCTTTGGATCTGGCAAGAACCAAGCACTTCTAAGTTGCTGTGGTGTAGATCACAGTGTCTTCAGGCACTTGCTTTCTATTTTTGAAATAGTCTTTGATAAGTACACTGTTGATAGACAAACCAATCAGATCAGGAAGCACCTCTTCACTGGATCAGGGAAAGTCAAGGGCAACCCAAGATCTGTAACTGCACTAGTTGCACTAGTAGCACTACTAGTATTGCACTGGTACAGAACTTGTGTTTCAGTTGCAATGACTCTTTCAATGACCTTTGACCTCACTTCTAGTAGTTTACACCCCTCTAATGGTGGCTTAAGTTCTTCAGAAGAGTATTAGTACTATATCATGCCTTGTGGCAGTATCATCCAAACAAAGTCATTAGACCCCCTTATACTGAAGAAGAAGTGGATGCCTGTGTGGACGCCATTGGGCAAAAGTATGAGACACTTGGTAGCAAAAGAGTGTGGGGGCCTGCTGCTGATGGCCTAAAAGTTAAGCTTCAGCAGTCAACTTACTGGGCAATTCAAAACATGTACTACTACTACAATCTATGGGTTGTGGATACTTWTATTAATTGTGTCCTTCTTGTCTTTGATCCTGACAGAAATATCCACATGTGCACATGACTGCCCCAGAACTTTGCATGACAGTACCATGGCAGATTATGGCATAAATGACATACAGATGCAGGACATAAAAATCTTAATACTATATTTAACCTTGTGAACTAGAAGAGGCACCATGGTGGTGACCAGAACCAAGAAATCTGAGAAGAAGAATGCTCCCAGCTGCTCCAGGGGTGGCGCCTCCCTCTGAGGAGGGTGTATGGAGGAGCGACAAGTAAATATAAGGTATTTAGGTTTAGTGATGGCAGTGGGTACAGGAAGTGACCTTATTGCAGGAGTAACTGTCAGTGATGGTGCTTCTTATTTAACAGAGAGGCAAAAACTACAAGACAATAATTGGAATGGGACATGAGGATGATCTAAGGGAAATTCCCCGCCCTCCATGAAGTATAGGCTTAGTACCTTTGAGGAATTTTGAGGGCACATATCATTCTTAATCTGTTGTTGCTKCTGTAAAATTATTAGAGTACTCCTGTCAGTACCAACCAGATCCTCAACATGTTTATGAGTGATACATTCAGATTTGAGTCCTTGAAGGACTTACACAAATCCTAAGAAGGAAGACATCAGACAGGTTGCTTTGTGTACAGACACAATCMTGAACTAGACTCAAAAGGCTTGTTCATTCCATGACAGCARTACTAGTGGATTGATTCTCATGGTCTATTGATCCATTACAATTAGTTACATTACTACTAGTATGGTTACAATTTACAATTTAAGATTRCATGAATTATGAAGCACCAGGAGGGGGGCAAATAGTTTCATGTACTGCAAAAYCACATGAAACACTGTCTTATTTTGTTYGATTCACCACAGTGACRTTGTGTTCTTAATTCTAGTTGCCACCACCAGGTGTCATGTGAACRATGAYTGAGGGAGAACACAGTGGTGATTGCTTTACATAGCATTCATTGGCGTACATTGTAATACCCACAACACATGTCCTGGAGCATGCTCTAGCAAGCTATTGTGTACAATGAGCATTCTTTGGTATTCATGGACAAATATTCTATTGCCTTGCTGGCTTCCTTGTGAGGGGGGGAACCTACTAGTACACAATTACCCACCACATGATTAATAATGATTTGTTCAACGGATGAATGAAGAAGKTAACACAAGATAACACATGAAAATAGCAAATTAACAAGAAGGAATGCATGAAAAGAGTTGCTCATTATAATTGTAATCAACTGATAGCTAGTAGTACTGACTATGGGATTCTTCAGATTTGCTACTGCTGCTGGAAAACAAGTAGTGTGGTTGCTTTTGCTTTTGAGAGTTTCCACCAACAGTAGCAGCAGAAGCAATAGAGGCTAGCACATCATTGATGGCGTTGATTTTGTTTTGCTTCCTGTCTTTATGGTCTTCTTCAGTAGCAAGTCTTCTTTCCCCACAATCTTCTATGGCATTTGCAGTGATCACTTGAAGAATATCCTTTGTAGAGGCTCTTGTTGAGTATGATCTCTTGATGGCTGCAACAGGASCAGAAGAAGAGGATGCTTGAATCTGAGACTGAGTGTCAACATCTTGTTGAATAGTAGGTGCCTCCTGCATTTGCTGCTTTGGCTAGTAYGGAGAAGGCAATGGAGAGAATGTGGATCCATCAAAGCAGTGTCATCCCTACTATCCTTGTATCCTTCTTCCAGATCAAACTCTTCTTCTTTTGTATCTCCAACAAGACTGGGCTTCTGCCCAATCAAGTACTTGATCCTCTTTGGAAGGCAGWCCTCAGGAGGCATGTTTGGATCTCCAGTAGGAATACTTCTCTGGTGGAGTGTGGAATGCTTCCTACAGATGGAATCCTTGTCTCTTCTTGGACCATCAGGCCAGGCTGGAGCATAGTATGTTTGAACAACATGTTCCCATTGGTCTGGTGAAATAGGAAGAATCCTTTCCATGACAGTCAAGAAATCATGAGCCCATTGTGGCTGCAGTTTTCAGCAACATGAGTTCTGCCTCCTCTTTCAGTAGCTACTGCTGCAATTACTACCACTGACGGGCACATCACAGAAACAGTACTGACACTTCTTGTTACTAAGTCGTCTTTGGACACATTGTCACCAGACATCAGTTTATGACCCTGATGCTTCTTSGTGGAGGACAGCCCTGGGATAAATATTGTACATGAGATACCCTTCAGTTCTTCTCTCTCAAGCTGTTCCTCCAACACGTGGAAGAGAATGTAAGTAACACCAAGGTAATCATTACTTCTTCTTTTAGTAACCTGGTAAGCTCCACCACCAGTCAACAAGGAGCTCAGCACCATGGTGAATGATACTTCTTACTACTACTAGTTCTCTTCTGCATTATGCTGATTAATATGCAAAGCTGCTGACATGTTTGTGTGTTTCCTGTGATAAGATAAAGTCTTTGCCATTCCATTGGTGGAAGGGTCTTTTAGGTGCCCTCACACACACATACTACCCCAGCAGACTTAAAATTGTTAAGAAGTCAAGGAGGATTCCAATTGAATATGCGTTCTTGGATGACATGTCATCCAGTGGTAATTGTGGAGGAGCTGCTACTACGACAATTTATGTATTTGAGTGTCATCCAGTGGTAATTGTGGAGGAGCTGCTACTACGACAATTTATGTATTTGAGGACATATTTTGCACACACCAGCCCAAATTAATGTAACTTTCAAATATATTAATATATTATTATTACTGTTAGTAGTAGTAGGAATGACCCCTTATAACCTCTGGCGTTGAGTAGCTTACTGGTCCACAAAGTGTGTCATTGTGCCCCTATTTTACTGGTCCTGAAATATTGTCCTTGTTGTTGGGCCTATAGGATACCAGATACTTATTTGACAAAACATTACTATTAGTTAATTTAGCTACTACTTGTTACTATTACTGTGATTCTTAATTGTTATCTGTAGTGGCCTGTTGTTCTCCTGCAGCAGCAATAGCAAGCATTTGCTGTCCAGYGATGATGTGACTAGCATCACAAGTGATTGCTGATACGGGGAAAGTCGTCCCTTGACGCATCAGACTTGTTGCTTTTCCCATATGAGGAAGCTTGATTGAAGAGTGAAYCAGGAGGTGCAACAAAATCAAGAGTGAAATAATCATGTGAAAAAAACATGGGGGCCATGGTTGTACCATGTGCAAAGCACAATTTCTTCTAAAATATCTTCCTCCCAGCGCTCTCTCCAGCTCAAAATTRTTCATCCCACATGAAAACTGCATTTGCCCAAATATGCCCGAGCAATATTTGGCCCCTCTAGTGACCAACTAAGACTGCATCAGAATAATCCTGTTCCAAACTTTTCTTATTGCCTGATAAAGTACTTAGGACTGGYTTCCTACTATAGCTCCAAGTCTGGGCGGTCTTTAAATGACCCACATAACCCTTCTTTCTTCAACCRGTAAAATGAAAATCATATGCTAGTAAAATGGGCTTTCTTTAAATAGCTATTGCAAGTATGTCAGTCACTTTCACTATATACAATCTCCATATCTGAATAACACTATACTAGGTCTGATAAGTGCAAAAAGAAGCATTTCAATCGCCCAAATAATGAGCTTATTCCAGCAGAAAAAGTACTAACTGTACACACTTTGTGGACCGGAGCTCTGATCAATACGTATCATACTTCTAACCTTAGTAGTATTCAGCATCCATCATTTTCAATTTCAACACGAAATCTTTTGAGGAAAAACATAGAACTGACACACTCGTAAACTCAATCAACGCAGCTTGCCAAAAAGAAAACAAACGTTTGTTTTTGTGTCCARCCACTCTTTCTCGGGCAACAGTGCTGGATGCTTTCTCCTTGCTTGTCTCGTTCCTTTTGGTATTTTKATGCGATAATACGATAAGTCAAACACATCAGCWTCTTCGAGCTAAGATTATCAAAGGAAAACGGTGCTAGCACGAACATGGTTCGACGTGACATAATTGTTCACTACATCCCCGTGGCGATAGCCATCTACGCCTGTATCTCCTTGCCGGGTAGTGCCGCTTTTGTTGGAATTTTAGGAAAAGCACATGTTGAACTCTCGGGTTRTCGACAATTGCGAACTTTCTTCTGCCCGAGTGGAGGGCCCTCATCCTCATTGTCTTCGAGTCTGGGAAACAACCACGAAGCGAACTCTATKGTGAACGATGGAGGTAGCGGTCTCGATCAYAGCCAGCACGTTAAGACAAAGAATGAGAAGCAGCAACCGGTCACGAYTATTTCGGATCGAAGGAATGCATTATTGCGCGTGGGGCGGATARCACTCATGACAACAGCAGCATCCGCTGCCACGCCTTCCCCGGCCTTGGCCCTAAAGAAGAAAAACGAAGCCCTTTGTGGTACGGGATTTTTCGAGCACATTTACGAATACAAATGCACTGAAATCGGTGACATCCAAGATGAGGGAACTTCGAAAGCAATGAGCGAGGCCGAAACCGGCATGACTAACAGCTTGATGGGAAAACTTGGGTTCGACACGGTGGAAATCATTGACAATTATGACGAAAATAAGGCCGACAAAAAGACATCAGGGAAGGATTCCATGGCAAGACTGAGGGACGGCAACAGTAATTGAAACCAATGGCAATAGTAAACCAACGCTTTAGGAGGGATGATGCAGATATATCTTCCGCTCACCCTTGTATGACCCATCGTTAACGATTGTCGTAAAAATATATTGGTATCCTACCCATATAGCAAGGTAAGTAGTGTATGGAGCTTCACGTGTTGTTATACTTTTCTTTGCATGAAAAACATGCTAAAAATGGTTGGAAAATTCATCATCCGATTGATCCATTCTGTCAATGAATCAGCGACACTCAAAACTACTCTTGCGACTCTACAACAAATCAAATTACTTTCTACAAGTGTATTTTTGTAGTCCACCACCACTACAACAGCAATAGGACGAGTTCCTTTCTGTAAATCAGCTACTACTAGCAGAACTACTAAAATTAGGAAGGCAGTATCAAATAGTTTCAGGAATCTAGTACTACTGGCAGCCCTGGGTTGTGCTTTTCCATGTTTCTCTTTCTTGTCACTAGGTCCTCTAGTACTAGTACTCCTACTAGTAGTTATCCTCACCACCACCACTACTACTACTTCTAGTACTAATCAATGCTTCTTGGCCTCATGCCAGATGCCAAAAATTCAGCAACAACCCCCTATCTACCCTCCAGACATTGTTTGAAAAATATTGAGTTCTTGATTGGCAAAAAAATAAATGTATTGCAGTACTAGCACTAGCAGAAATGTCATCTCACAARCTGCTACTATCTTGTTGCTGGTAACAAGGGTTCCTATGACAAAGGAAAGGGGCTTCCCCAATGTTCCCCTCTTGCTCATCATAGAGTAAGGCAAAAGGTTACTGGTTGTTCCATGGAAACCATTCATGCATTTCAGYTATTAAACTATGACATGACTTCAACATATGTTTAGATGGAGTGGCTACTATAGATGCTCCCAATCTGGGCAAGCAGGCAAGAGTTTCATCTACAAAGCAATCTAGAAGAGCCAGAAAGAAGAAGTCTATGTGAGTGAACCAAGAAGAAATCAAGTGCAATGGTTTATCTATCACCAAGTGGTGTGAAGGAGCCACTGTATTTAGCCAGTAGCCAGCATATGTTTCCCTATCTTCAGTKGTTTGAGTGACAGTGAGATGCTGGAGAAACGCTTCACTGTTATTGAAGTTCCAGGTAGTATGTGTATGAATTCGAACATTGATGCAAGGAGTTTGGAAGTGGAGTAGAGTACATTATTTTGATGGAAAAAATGAGGACACCCAAACATTCTTTGAATGGTAGTACTACTAGTATGACAATGTTATCTATCTATTACAGGAGGAGAGTTCTGCAGTTGCATTGCCATGTGCCACCAGCTGATGCTGAAGAGGTACTACTAGAAGAGCTATCAGCACAAGTGTGGGTTGACAGTGATACAAATCAAATGTGAAGACTCAGTAGGCTGGACACCACTGAAACTTTGTTCAAGAGAGGTATCTACTACAACAAAATTGGTGCCAAGACTACCAATTTTTGTGGTCCATTTTCAAACCAGAAAGAAAAGAGAGTTGCCATACCACTAGTACTACCAAAGGGACTCTCTCACCACTGTGGATGCTGCTAGAGAAAAAACGGWGAAGGTGAAGATACAAGGACACCTCATTCTTCCAGAGAGGAGATCTTCTTCTGCTATTATTGACTGTGCTGTAAGTTTTCCCAAGGTCAAGGCAAAAAATCTCAAAAAATGAGCTACTACAGTGTGAATTTGTTGACAGTGGCTTCACTAGACATAATTTGGTGCCTCATATTCACTAGAATGCCRGCCTTGGAGCAATACTACTAGGAAGCCAGTGCTAAGAAGAAGTACTTTATCAGGCAAAAGAAGTGTATCTTTCAGGAACATTCTTGCAAAGTTTTAGTGGKTCACTGCTWGTAGAGTAGCCAAAAAAGTGCTCTGGGCRTATTGTTTTTTTGAAGTTTTTTGGARCTGGAGAGAGGAGYGAGGAGGAAARAGTGCCRTGTGCATGGTGMAAAAATGTCCMCTGTGTTATTTTCACCATGTAACAATTTCACTCTTGATTTCCTCACACCTCACTTTTCACTCTTCTTCTTGCTTTCTATTCAACTGACCAAGACCAGTGCTTCTTTGCACTCCAACCCTTTTTTGCACCTCAAGTGACTCAGTGGTCACCTATCGTCATCTGCATTGCAWCTCATMACCKGGAGCCTCTGTTGTTGCTTCAACAACTGATACTAGTAGGGSATGCATTGATGCAATAAATACGTACRAACGGTATCRGAAGTATACGTACGTACAAAGCTTCGAAGAAAGGAATGAAGGAACATACCATTCCTACGTACCTATCGYAAGKTACTGTTCATATGTATGTAYCATAGGATCCATYGTAAGAGGTCCRAGGAACTTAAGAKGTCYGTGATATCAGAAATAGATTACCTCGCAAAGAACAAAGATGTCAATAGATCAGAATAATAAGAATCCTGTGTAGATTCAGTACCAAGAGYTACACAGGATCTAATCGGAGCTTCTGAAAGCTCAYGTCGGAACACGATAATCTTAATCTTATAATTCAATTCTTATACACTTGAAACACCTACTAAGAGTACWCGTAATATYGTGCACAGTAATTACTACTTGATTTTTGTGTATCAAAAATTAATCATCCATTAAGGAAAACAACCAAAATAATACATCRACCATGGTGAAACCAAATAWGAACACCAACTCCTCTTCCAAACAACATCGACACACACATCRATCCTGTCTCAGCCTCACAAACAACTTTGATTCAAGCCAACTAAGAACAGTCTCCATGACAGTGAACCTTCGGAACCCAGTAAGGAAGCTAAATAAGACCTGCTTAACCTTCTCCGGGGAACATGGAGTCGTACAAGAGCTGTTTCATGTGCAAGAGGACTTTGAAGATGCAATATTGGACTTGGAAATAGCAGAGGACCAAATAGATAAGAAGTGGCAAATGGTCCTCGTGCATAGGCCCAGACAGAAATGGAACAGTATGTGGAACAACAACAGATTAGCAGAAGTATCAAGGAATAGCAAGGCACAGTGGAAGATAGCCCTCCTCACCTTCAGGAAATTTTATGCACCATCCAAGTGTGCCAGGGATGATGTTGTTGAATATTTGGAATCAGATGCCATCAGGAAACCTCATGATACAGTCTCCTGTGAAGTCTGGATAGAGTACAGACCTGTTTTGCCAGAGCCAACATTCTTCATGGCATCCGGGAGCCTTTATCAGAGAGAGAGATCAAAAAGATTCTCTTCAGATCCTTCCCCAAGTCCTGGCAGAATGATTATACTCGGTGTGGGAGAGACATCATGAGGGACACAATTGAAGACATTGTGGAATACATGACAGACCAGAAGGGAATAGCTGACAAGGAGCAACGACATAATCAGTCTAAGAAAAGAGCAGCAAAGGCAAAGACAGATTCCGATAGGCCCAGGGATGGAAAGAGGCAACAAAGAGGAAATAACAATGGGAACAAAGAAGATAAACAGAAGAGGATCAATGCAAGGCCCTGCAGAAAACACAATGGAGAGCACACTTGGGGTGAGTGTCCATTCAACAGCAAAGGTTACAATTTCCAGGGGAACGGCYGAGGAAACAACAATAATAACAGAGGAAATCAAGACCGACAAGGAAATTCAAACTCAACATCAAACAATGGGAATTCAAAGAGGTTCACACCAGGTGCCTATTCATGCATCATTGATGAGAGTGGAAATATGAGCAACTTCCAACCACAGACAATTCAACCTCAGAGCTATCAGCTTGGCTCAAGCTCCAGTGGAGGCCCTCCAAGCCATGTATCACTACAGTCCAACAGCAATGCAGGCTCGACAGTCTGATTCCAAGGACAAGGACAAGGACCAAATCAACAGTGGTGACATCAAAAAGAGGCTTGCCTTGCAGCACTGCCTCCAACACCATCCACTCACTCACCGGAAGAAAGCTTTGAATTCTATGGTCTTGATAATGAAGAAGCTCTTAAGAATTCAACAGCAGTGACCTTATGCGCTCTGAAACCACCACCGGATGTACTACCAGCAGTCATTCTTGTGTGCAAAGCCATACAAGACCTACCAACCATGCAGACATTCAAAGTTCTTTTAGATAGTGGAAGCACTATGTGCCTGATTCACTACTGATGCCTTCCACCAGGAATAGTGCCTTTCCAAGACAAATTCAGCTCAGTCACGACTACAGCCCAAGGAAGCTTTGATACTTCTAAGTATGTCTTCATCTCTAACATACGGCTTCCTGAGTTTGGCAATGGCAAACACACAAGAGGAATCAATGCAAGGCTTTTCTCCGCCCCTTGCAATTATGACATGATTCTAGGAAGGGACTTCCTATTGATGATAGGAATAGACCTCTTCTATTCCACACGCACTATCAGATGGTTAGGCTCAACCATCGATATGAAACCAGTAGATCATTTCAATCATTCCCAGCACGTGGCAGAAGCCATGTGGATTGCAGAGGATGATGAACTCTTAGATGGAGGATTCCTAGAGTTTCATCTACTGCCCCCAAGCAGCTGCTGACAACACAACTGCAGAGGTGCAAACAGTTTGGACAGTTATTTAGCAGCAGATGCTACCAGGGCTACTACTGTAGGAACAGAACCCAACAGAATCCTGGACGCGCAGTACAAAAGAGTGACTCCAAAGCAGGTTGCAGACCAGCAAGAGCACATGAATGATTTAGAAAGACTAGCATTCAAGGAGATGCTAGCCAAACACACGGAGTTGTTTGATGGCAAGCTGGGCAGATATCCCCATGAAAAGATCCACATCGATCTAGAGGATAATGCAGAACCAGAAGTATATATAAATCCATACCCAGTTCCCTACAGACACAAGGATGTCTTCAAATGGGAGTGCCAGCATCTTGTGGATGAAGGAGTTATTGCTCCCACTGGCAATTCAGAATGGGGGTTTCCAGCCTTTATCATTCCCAAAAAGGACGGCAGAGTCAGATGGCTCGTTGACCTCAGAGAGTTGAACAAAAGGATCCAGCATCCCAAGTTTAACCTCCCCAAAATTCAGGACATCATGAACCAAAGAACGGGGTATGATCACTTCAAAAAGATTGATTTTTCTATGATGTTTTATTGCTTTGGATTGGATGAGGAAAGCCAAAAGATTTGCACGCTCACCACAACACACGGCAACTATAGATGCTTAAGATTACCAATGGGTCTTAAGTCATCCCCAGACTATGCCCAAGCCTTCATCACAAAAATCCTACATGGGTTAGATGTTGAAGTATATATAGACGATATGGGCATTTGGTCTTGTGGACCCTTTAATCAACACCTTTCCTTGGTTGACCCAGTCCTGAAGAGATTAGCATCCAATGGGATGAAGTGCAACCTGCTGAAATGTGAATGGGCAGTGAAAGAGTCAGACTTCCTGGGATATTGGCTCACCCCTACAGGTGTCAAGCCTTGGCAGAAGAAAGTGGATGGAATTCTGAAAATGGGAATTCCCCAAAATCAACAACAGGTCTGGTCTTTCCTGGGTGYGGTGAATTATTACAAGTCTATGTGGCCAAGGAAATCACATGTACTTGCTCCACTATTGACCAGTCTGCTCTTCTTGTGCCGCACCTCAGGGCATCCATCGACTCAGATTGTGCCTCCATTGCCTCACTGGTGATAATAGGGGATCCTCCATTGAGGACTCAAGTTGCCTACTACTACTACAAGTGAAGAACCTTACGTTTCTGTCCGTTGCCTCTACTACTAAGAGAGGGGAAGTGGAAGGAAGCGCCAAAAACTCACCTTGTACCAGTCAAATAGTAGGATTACAGTAACACATATTTTGGACTGGAGGAAGGTAGTAGTACTTCGTAGATTGTGCAGGTTTACGGATGCATTTAACACAAGAGGAAACATGAAATATTTTATGTGTACTTWCTTGAATGGAGTAAGTACGTACGTAGAAGTACAGTACTTCATTTTCTTCCGCGCGTAGCGAATGTGCGCATTTTCCGGAGTGCCCAAAAAACATGGTTCGGGACTTGGTGAATTACTTAGTGATGCGGGAACCGGTTGTTTAAAGATACTACGGATATCATAACAAGTGATCGCGACACTAAGAAATTGGTTCCCATCGTTATTTTAATGATGCCATCCTTAGCCCAGTAGAACACAGTACAAAATGTACTGAGGTAGTTTGCAACTATTCTGGTGGCGGAGAACCAATCCAGCTTCTTTCTCAGAAGGCAAAACATGCCGAAAATTTTGGGGAGCAACTCTCAGTAGAGCTCTGTAGAATTTGTACTGAAAAAATTAAGGATGGCATCCTTAAATTAACGATGGGAACCACTTTCTTAGTGTCGCGATCACTTGTTATGATATCCGTAGTATTCGATGTAGAAGTTCGTACGTACTTGGCAGAATCCTTATTCAGAAAAAAAAAAGATCCGTGAGCGTTATTTTGAACCTTCTTGTTCCTTTTCTACTTAAGGYTCACCATTGAAGTAGAATAATGACCGGCATTCGAACTCTTCCTTTCATTTAGGGATCTCCTTTCGTAAGGTGAAAGGTAAGAAAAAATTAACTCCCTGTGCGCGCTGCGCAACTGTGTCTTCTATTTTTAGTACCGTACTTGACTCTACATTCGGAAAGTCAATGAACAATACGAGGTGAAAGGTTAGTAGTACGGTGCCGTGCTGTATTTTTGAGAATCACGGAACATGTGGATACTGTAAGTACGAGTACTCGTATGCATTTCGTAACAATTGAATACGGTCGCAAAAGAGAGCAAAAAGTAATGATTTCAAGTTCTAAACTTCGATTTGAAGTTATGAACTTCACGTAGAAAGTCTACTAGGTTCTACTGAGCTAGTTTTTGGATTGCATTCATGATTGACTCATGATTGAATCACCTCAAACCATTTTAAATCGCCCTGAACCATTTTTTTGTTTTGAGGGGAATCGTGATTCGTCCATTCAGTCATTTAAAAAAACTAGCTCAGTAGAACCTGGTACATGATGTACGAGCATCATAACTTCAAATCGAAGTTTAGAACTTCAAATTATTACTATTTGCTCTCTGGGCGAGACGATGTGCAATTGTTACGAAACTCGTAGTAAAGGTCATTACATTAATCATCATTGTAAAATGAAATTATTGTTCAAGTAATATTCGATGAAGAATACATACTATTAGACCATTTCTCACCAGTGAAAATCTAGTAGCTTAAATCTATCACTCTTTTATTATCTTGTCACATTGCCACGTCCGTCACTATAGTACCGGACAGTATTTATTGATCGCCTCCGGAGAACTCTTTCGAAGTCCTAGGTACAATACCCAGTATTTGTTTGGAATATCAAATACTCTTAAACGCCAAGGCGAAGGGATAGAAAGCTACAACGGTGTTCCAGCGTACGGGACGTAGAAGTACTTCAAGCGACGTCTGCTCCAATCGTGATTAACAGACAGTACAAAACCTATTACTGTAATACCGGTACAACTCGGACCTTGTATTATCAATACGATTTACTCTTACGTGAATAATACTTCTAGTATGAATAACGTACTCGTACTTTACCGTACATCACGAAATACTGTATTTTGGTGATGGATGATAGGCAACTGCATTCCTGCGCGGTGGGTACTGTACACGCTACCTCTGTGTAGCTTCGTTACTTAGCCAAAACAACAGGTTCCCACTTCGACAATACTTCCACGAAGTACCGTACGAACCGGTACCGGTACGAACTTCTAATTACTTCTTTTCTGTTAGGACTAGGACCGTCGCAGGCGTCAATTTCAGTTCTCCGAAAATTATTTTCCTTGGGGACACAACGCAGCTAGTACTCGTACCTACCGTATTGGAACAAAAACTACAAAAAACCTAACACCAGCACCAATCCCAATTTTAGGACAAACGGTGGCGGCAGCGACGACAAAACACAACAAGCCACAACCGAAATTTCAACGACCCAGTGTAGCAACCACATTTTCTAGCWGCATCCCACCCACAAACAAAAAAGCCTTTATCATCAGCACCCTACATGGAACAAAATACTTTTGYCTTTGAACTCAAACGGATTCTGTTTTCTACCGTGATTAGCAYAAGSACATCATCAACAACATAATATTATCATGGAGTTGTTGCTTTCTTTGTCCAATTACATGGGTGAAAGTGGGGTTGCACTCATAGCGGTACTGCCCCTCGCAACTTTTGCCCTGGGTTTGCTGTGCTTTGCCTACGTCTGCCTGATGRTGCTCTTTTTCAACACCGACCACACCCTTCGCTCCTGGCTGAAGATGAACAGTGCCATCGGACACAATTACCGTCCACCAGTGGCGCCCTTTGGGATGTTCGAGTGCATCCGCTTCATGACGAGCGACCAGCARCCATGGTTCCCTYTGAGGGCCCGAAAGGCCCTCAACGACTCGGACACTTTCGTGCTGCCACTTCCGAGGCGTCCGGTGATGACGGGGGACTACGAGCTTGCTCGGGAGATCCTAACAGATCCGCTCTCGGTTAAGCCGAAGACSTACCAGGAATTCGAGCCCCTCGGTGTTGGTAGCATCTTTACGAGAAACGGTTCGTACTGGGTGAGTTCGAAATTGTTCGAATCKGCTCGAAAGCTTACATGGATGTGCGATGTTATTTCTTTGCTTTATTTGGTAAATCTAGTTCTGCAATAATCTATTCGATTTGTAGTCAGCAATCATGCAGCACTTCTACAGCACTCACACTATGCTCCCGTTGTTTTGTCTAACATCTTTCTCTATCTTGCCGTGTCTTGAAAATACTTTCACATGAAATTCCATTCACAACAGCACGCACGAAGAAAGGGGGTGGCGCCGGCATTTTCCAATAGACATGTGAAACGAATGAATCTGGTTGCTTTGGAACACGCTGAAAAATGGATCCAAGAAGTTCTCATCCCCTGTGCCAAGGCTGGAAAATCATTCGATGTATCGAAGGGAATGATCTCGATAACCCTTGAAGCGATCTGCAAAACGGCATTTGAATACGATATTTCTCAGCAAGAAAAGGACGAATATCTCCGGAACAGCGAGCTGGTCCTGAAAGAGTTCTTGACCAAGTCTATCAACAATCCGTTTCGCAAGTACTTCGGCCGGTGGATCCCCGGGCGGCGCAGGGCGCTCGACGCGGCACTTGCAAACGCAAGCCTCGCCAGGCGGATCATCTCAAAGTATAAAGCTAACACTAAACCCATCAAGGGTACAATCATCGACTACCTCTGCCACAATCCCTGCTACGCAAACGAGGACGAGATCGTTGCAGATGTCTTGTTATATTTGACGGCTGGGCACGACGTGAGTACCAGTACCGAGGAATACAATTACATATCCAAAACCATCGATCATCGCTGACTCTCTCACATGTTTTTTATCCTCTGATTTATTCTAAAACAAATTTGTGTAACACCACAGACCACCGCTTACACAATGGCGTTTACACTCCTGGAACTTGCTCGAAATCCAGACCTTCAGAAAWCCGTAAGGGACGAAGTTGCTGTCATGGAATCTTCCGATCATTGGAGGCGGTCTGAGGCTCTCCAGATGGCMATAAARGAATCAATGCGGCTCTACCCTGTCAGCGCCAGCGGGTCGTCCCGTGTATGCGGGAGGGATTTCGTCACCAAGGAGGGATGGGTCATCCCGGCGGGAACGAGCGTTGTCAGCCACATTATGCTGATKCACCGCAACAAGAATGTCTTTGGGGAAAACGCGGACGAGTATGTTCCCTCTCGTTGGGAAAACCCCACACAGGCCCAGAAGGACTCATTTCTTATCTTTGCGGCGGGCAAGCAAAACTGCCTTGGGCAATCGCTCGCTCAAGCCGAGCTGCACTGCATCATTCCGAGGATACTCTCCGAGGTCGAGCTTGAGGTGGAAGACGAGGGAAACATCACATGGTTCCTSACGCTGAAACCAATCGGGGTAAAACTGAGACCAAAGCTCGTGGTTGCGCAATGACATGAAGAAACATCGTATCGCTGCAGGCCTACCTTCTCGAGGGGGCGATGAAACAAGCCTACAAACACAYCATAGAAGAATCGATCCATCGATCCATGTATATAGAACAACTCATGACATGCTCCAAATATCCAACTAAATGTAACATAGCCACCATTATATTACTTCAATGCCTCCTCCTACTACTACAATCTTCTAAAACTACAAATTCTGAGGACATTATGTGAGTTGTATAAAATTACGGCTATATAGSCAATCGAATTTGAATTACTCTCGCTCTCTGCCGCTTCTAGTGTCTTTAGCTGGTGGTTCGTTTTCGTTGTATTTTCCGGCGCCGCCGCCGATTGGATTCGATTCAGTGATCTCTTGATCACAATTTACTATTTCAAAATCGCACCCTTGATACGGTACTCTTTTTTCAGTATTCTTTAATTTCCTTCCTATTCTGCATGCATTGGCAAAGAAGAGTCAAGACGTTACGAGACGGAAAGAACCGTGGACGCAGACAATAGCATCCGCAGTGTCGTAAAATACCGTACAGATAGTACTGTCTTTACTTTTGAATGTTTCCTCTGTTAATTTGGCATGATGTGTCGTGCGTGCATTTTTCCTCAGAGACATCGACCAAACAACATCCGCATTGTCGTGCGACACCGTAGGGACAGTATGTGCCGTCGGTTTGTAGACGATTTTATTTTGGTTCTAATTCTTTGAGACCAATGTTTCAATACCGTGACTTCATCATTGTCATCCATCGTTATAATGGGCTTATGATGTAAGACGAACAGCAATAATATGAGAAATAATAATAGCCCAAAGGAGAATGCAATACTWAAAGTTGGAATATTTTAAAAACCCTAGTCTCGTTCATTGGGACACTCATTGCCACGATAAAAAAAGAATTGTGACTCGTCGGTCGTCACACCTTATTTCATACAGTCTTGAAATATTATTTTCATGGAAACTCAAGTTTCACTCCAAATGAGTCCAAGATACATTTTTACAACAGCCTAATCTCGACAAAAATGAGTTTATGTTCTAAACTGTTCTATGGTACGGCTAATCATCAATCATCAAGTTGAGAGCCATATATAAACATCGAGGATCAGAGCCATATAAACATGCTTTGGGTTTGCTAAATTGAAAGCTCATCGTAGCAGAGAAACGTCGMAACGGAGGAAGAAACCTATACTGCACCGATGCGGCAAATCCAACYGCCTGGTGTAGCTGGACACTCCGGGGTAGTCGTTCGTGGAATGATATCGTCTACCGTATGAATACGTGTTTACAATAAAGAGTGAGCTTATTCACAATCTACTCGTGATTTAGGATCACAAMAATAACGTTGTYGTCCTTTCTTCGGTTTTACGGAGTCGAGTGTGGTGTGAAAGGCTTTTTCGAAAAAGCTCGGCCATTTCTCGTTGCAAAACTCGATTCTCGCGTAAGATAATTCGCGACTTATGGTAGAATAATGAAAACGTAAAGTGTTTCTWTCCGACAACCATGAGTCGCGAAACGGGTGCCGAAAAGATTTCCAGCGAGATACATACWCCTGTGCTGCTTTCATACTCTTCCGTTAATTGAAAATATTGTCATAAAATACGATTCGGCTACAGAGATGTATTTTTGAATCAGCTATTGTTCTCTGAYGTTCTGTTACACTTTCATCGTTGCATTATTATTTAGTTTTAGTAGAATAGCGTGTTGAAAATTGTTAACTTTTGAAAAAACTCAACGGTACTATTCTGCTGCATTTCGATTAACAGGGYAGTAATAGCTCAAAGCAATCCATTTTCTCGTGCCAGGGTAGCGAATTCGTCGGCCTCTAGGGTCGGAATGCCCAGATCCCGTGCCTGCTTCAGTTTTTTGCCGCCTTTCTCTCCGCAGACCACCAGGTCTGTTGATTTACTAACGCTGCCGGGAGTTGCTTTCGCTCCAAGTCGTTTCGCAATATCTTGCGCTCCGGATCTTGTCAGTCCCCCACCTATAGATCCCGTGAATACGACACGGAGCCCCTTCCAGGGCTTGCTCGGATCCACATTGGCTTTCGCGTTGGTTTCTAGGGATGAAGAAGAAGCGTCCACCGTTTCATCCACCACTACCTCTTGTTCGGAGATGGTCAGGGCATTGGCGAGATTTTTTGTGGCATTTTTGAGCTCTTCTGTTCTCGCAAAAACGAGGAGGGATTCAATCACCACAGGCCCGATCCCGTTCTTATTTCCCAGCTTCGGGAAAGGATGCCAATGATCTTCTTGCGGCGACTCAGTGGTTTCTTCTTCTTCTTCTTGCACTTCTTTTTCTTTTAAGGACCCTTCCTTGTCGAAGACACCGCGGGGCTCTCGATAACCTTCAGCTGCCGAGTCCAGCGCTTCCAAGAAAGCCCCGATGGATCCGTAGGATTCGGCAACTAGTTCYGAGGTATGTTTACCCACGTGGCGTATCCCCAGTGAATAGATGAAACGGCCCAGGGAGATCCCATCGGAACTGATCCTTGTGCTGGTGTCGCGGAGGTTTTGGCAGGACTTTTGTCCCCATCCCGGAAGACTGGCAACGCTTTCCCACTCGGTGTCCCCCATTTCAAAGACATCGGACGGATACCGCAGAAGGTCGGCGTCCATGAGCTGCTGGATCCGGGCTTCCGATAATCCGGTCAGGTCCAGCGCATCTCTGGAAAAGGCGTGTTTCAGTGAAGTCACGGCCCTAGGGGGACATAGTAGGGGTGGCCCACTGCAGCGTATAACCTGCCCCACCGAAGACGCCGTCGATCCGGTTGTCTCATAGGATACCGGCGATGAACAAAACGGGCACTTTTCGGGAGGTTCTAGCGAGATCCAGGAGGAGATGTCCTCGTCGTCGCCAGTACTAACATCGGCATCGGACGACGGAGCATGGCTTGGGATCCTTCGAACAACCTGCGGGATGACGTCTCCCGCACGCTGCAGCAGCACTGACTCGTACCTTRGAATCCTCGCTAGATCCTTGTTGTCTCCGTCCGCAGCATCGACACCGTTGTTTTTATCGTTGCAAGCATCCTCCGAGTCCCCGCTCCCCAGTATTTCTTGCATGTGGCCGAAGTTGTGCAGCGTGGCACGTTGAACCACAACACCACCCACCTCGGTTGGTTCCAGAACCGCTACCGGGGTCAGGGCTCCGGTTCTGCCAACCTGTACTACGACGTCTAGCAATCGTGACACGGCGGACTGGGCCGGAAATTTGTGGGCGGTGGCCCACCTGGGGCTCTTCATGGAGGAGCCCATGGCGGATTTGATCCTCGCCTGGGATACCTTGTGGACGCAGCCATCGACGTCGAAATCTCCCCACTCGTACTCCGTAGAAGCCGGAGGGCGTGCTTTGTTTCGCCTGCGGTTGGCTGTGGGTTTTGACTCTTTCGATTCCTGGCTCGTAGTGCGTCGCGATGGAGACAACAAATGGTTGTTTTCTTTCTGCAGGTTTTCTCTGTGTGTCTCGAGGGCCGAGAAATACTCCATTATCGGTCGCACTTGCTCCTCGAGAATCACTTCTCGAAACCATTCGTCCCAGGCCAAGGCAGGTTCCGATTCGTCGTCTTCGTTAGCTGCTGCGTCCATCGTTTTGGCCACCATATCCTCGTGGTTCCACTCGATCTCGGTGATTGCCGCCGGCAGAGCCACGGAAAATCCCCAGTCCGACAACTGCTCCCGGATTCCTATCCCGTCTGTTGTTGTCGGTGACGATTCTGTGRCTAGCACCGTTCGTGCCGATTCCGTCTTTTGCAAGCCGGTAACATCGTAGGCGTAGAATCGGAGAAGCGACCTAAGCTCCCTCGAYTGGGATTCGTCCTCGGAATCATCGGACTCCTTGCGCAGCAAAATCCCRGATGCGGCGTTGCGKGGATTTGAGAACGAGACAASGGTCTTTGCCTTGGCCTTTTCCGGATTCGGTGCCTCTCCGCCGCCGTCGTTGTCCGCCGCAKAATCCGCCGTGGTGTTTTGCCGGAGCCGAGACGCTTCCGCTTCCGCGGCCTCGGTCCGTTTCATGCGAAGGAAGTCCGACCGGGGCAGGACGACCTCCCCCCTCACCTCCACGGCAACTCCGGACTCGTCTGTGTCGGAAGCACCGCTGCGGAACAGCGCCGCCTCTGGYAGGCACAGAYGGGCCGGAATCCCCGGCATCTGGTGCGCAGCGGCCGTGGCGTCCTGCCCGGTCTTCCCGTCGCCCCGCGTCGAGGCCCACCGCAGCTCGAGTTCTRCCGTCCCGCCGACCGCGGCGTTCCCTTYCGATTCGTACCGCAGCGAGAGGCTGACCCCGTCGAGCTTGGGCTCGGTGACGATCGATACCGAGGACATCGAATCGGTTCCTTCTTCGAAATCTAGTGYGTTTGTCGCCTTGACGACCCTTTTCAGCCAGCCGTGGAGCTGCTCCTCGCCGAGGACGTTGTCCAGCGACAGCATGGGCGACAAGTGCTTTCGCTTCAGACGAGCGGAGCCCCTGCCGCTCGATGCACCGCTTTGCGTCCCCGCGGCTTTTGCATCCATCGGCATCCCCACGCGCCCGCTGCGGGTAGCGGCCATTCCCAGCCCCGATTCGATCCTCCAGGTTTCGACAAATTCCGGGTGYTTCTCCTCCAGCTCTTCCTCGCGGCGGACCAGGGCATCGAAGGCGTCGTCGGAAATGGGCGCGGGGCCATTCGCTCCGCTGCCGCTGCCGCCATAGTACAACTCGTCGTGGGTTCGGATTTCGATCGACAGGTCCCTGAATTGCCGGTACAGAGCCGCGTCTGTCGCATTGGCACCGATTGGTTTCCCCCCCTCRCCGCCGTTGCTGGTTTCTGTTTCAGCGGTGGAGGAGGAATGCAGGGCCCTCGTCCTCGCCGCGACAGGGACTCCCTCCGATCCACCAGGGCATCGCAGCGGCGGTGTGGCGGTGATTCTTTGTGCAGGGAATGGCGTCCTAGCCGTCGCGGTGGTCCGTATCGGTTGCGMCCAGAGCTGTGCCAAGGCCGGCTTTGAAGAAGAAAAAGAAGAAGCCCTGTACCGGTTCTTCCAGCCGCCGACAACGCGAAACCGGAATCCGTGGCAGTGCGTCGTGCGGTGCGCAACGAAGAACGACAGCATCCACACCGTGGCGATTGCACCGGCAACCAGATGATGCGAATGCGAGTGCGAGTGCGAGTACGGATACCGGTGGAGTTGGCGGTGGGTCTTATTCCGTCTGTTGATGTCGTTGTTGTGGCTTTTACTGTCGTTCTTGTTCCCGAGGCAATTCGATGGCCGGGCATTCAGATTCATCGTGGCCTGGCTTGTTTTGGCTTGGCATCTGGCCCCAGCTAAGTGGTTCTATGGGCGACGAACGAAGGAAGCGGAGAATGATTGTTGGGGTATTTCCTAGAGACAGTGGTTGTGCTTCTGAGTCGATCAATCTTGTCATCAAACACATCGTTATTTGTTTGAAGTA